ACAAAAAACTATGGATGCTGGCCATGAAAGCCTACGACTTCACAGTTCCCCAAGTCCCACCCCAGAGTCAGCCCAGAAAGGTACCATGACTGATGGTACTGAAAACTGCTGAGAGGTTCAGCAGAACCAGCAAAGACACACTCCTCCTGTCCAGTTCCCAGCACCGGTCATCCAAAGTTCTGTCCCATAACCAGGCCTGAAACAAGATTGAAATAGATCCAGACAATCCATCTCATCTCATTAAATAATATGGGGTGTGACTGTCTGCATTTGTTGCCGTCATCATGGAGGTGGATGGGAAGGGTCCACTGTAGAGAGCTTTAGGTCTCTTCAGCCTTTCAAAGGAAGAGAAGGAGTCATAATTGATGCCAGCCAAGCAAAGGGCTTTCACAGCATCCAGGAACTGAAGTGCACCCCTCCTTACCCATCGCACCACCAGCACTGGCATCCTCTTCTTCCTTGGCTTCAGCGCATGGTGCTCTCTCTTCAATGTCAAGGGGAGCCTGACTGTCCCGGGAGAAGTTTTCAGCTTCCTTTTCCAATCCCACCTGCAGCAAGGAAAAGCAAAGAGGGCAGTTTTTTGGGGGAATAAAGCAAAAAGAAAGAGAGAGAGAGGGCAAATGAGAGAACATCAGAAGTCAAAATGACTAAACTAAGGCTCGGGTACTTTGAGCATATCATCAGATAACTTACTGGAAAAGGTGAGAATGCAACCCTCCACAAAACCTGGTTTAAACCAAAGAAAACCAGGTTCAAACAAAGCAAAATAAATAACAACAACAACAACAACAACAAATAATCCCCTAGTAAAAAAGTGACTCTCTGGCTTCCAGCAAAAGGTGGAACCTAGGTGGAGTATTTAAAGAGTCAATTGTCTTAGTAAGTTGGTGGGTTGAAGGAGTCCATCAGTAAAGGTGTCCTCTTTTTGGCTTTTCAAAATATGGTATGTCTACCAGTTAAGAAAGCCTCCCATATTCCCCCCCCCCTTTTGGGGGGTGTAAACCAGGTTTATTTTTAAATTGTTTTGCGTTAAAGTTTGAATGAAAAAAAAATTGAATCCTGCTTATTATCTTAATACTGTGAAACATTATTTTATGAATTAGAAAGCTTGATCAACTACATTTTAATGCTTTCTAACATGAACAATCCAAAGTTATTAGGCTCTGATATGACTGACATCTTTAAACAAAACACCAATTTCTTACAGCTTATTATTCCTATTATGTAGGAATATGTAGACTATACATAATATGAGAGCCAGCGTAGTGCAGTGGTTTGAGCATTTGACTATGATTCTGGAGACCAGGGTTTGAATCCCGGCTTGGTCATGGATATCCACTGGGTCGTCTTGAGCAAGTCACACACTCTCAGCCTCAGAGGAAGGCAATGGCAATCCTTCTCTTAACAAATATTGCCAAGAAACCCCCATGATAGGCCTTAGGGTTGCCATAAGTCAGATACAACTTGAAGCCACACAACAACAATGCATAATAAAACATACAAAGTACTCTGAGAGTTGTTTTAGTTGAACTTATGTTAACTGATGGATTTGTTTCTGAATGGCATTTTTGCACTATAAAATAGAGTGCTTAATAAGAAGTACAGCATCACCCCAAATCAGTGATACCTTTATGGGGCCAACCAAAATGCACATTATATATGTATAATTTTAAGACGTATAACGTGCATTTTGGTTGACCCCATAAAGGTACCACCGTTTTGTGGATTTTGGATGATACTGTGTTTTGCTATATGGCCAACATAACTACCCCTGGATATGTTTAAAAAGAAGCAATTGACATTGGATGCTGGTCTAACAATGAACATCTGCCAATCAACTGTTAAAGTTAAAATGTTTGCATTCAAATAGACATTGTTGTTCCAGTAAGAGGAAAATTTTAATAATAGGCAGTGTGTGTCTCTATGTGTGTACCTCCAAATCATTTCTGACTTATTGCAACCCTAAGCTCATCATGGGCTTTTCTTGGCCAGGTTTGTTCAGAGGAGGGTTGCCATTGCCTTCCCCTGAGGCTGAGAGCATGTGACTTGCTCAAGGCCACCCAGTGGGTTTCATGGCTGAATGGGAATTGAACCCTGGATTCCAGAATCCTAATCTAACACTCAAACCACTACATCATGCTAGCTGTCAATGAAGGAGGAGGAGAAGAAGAATCAATTAAAAACCCAGGAGTGTTTTTTTAAAAAGTCATTTTGCTTTAAACCTGACACCACTCAAAGTGCTGTAGCTTCATCCTATGCACTCTTGGGATTTGTAGCTTTACAAGATATTTATCCTTCTCTGCCAAGGAGTGCTGGTGTCACACGACACTACAGACCTCAGGATTTTGTAGGATGGAGCCATGGTGGTTAAAGTGGTGTCAAACCGCATTATTTCTACAGTGTAGATGCACCCCTTGTCTCCTGCCTAGAGATGACTCAGAGACGCAGGTCCAGGCCCTGAGATCTGGCAACCCTACCCAGATAGGACACGGAGGACACCCAATGGACCCCAAAAGAAAAAGGACGTTGCCTGCTTCTCTTGCTTTTTGGTCCCTCGTTGCTTCAGGAGGAACTTCTCGGCCAGGGCCACTGCCTGGGCACAGGTCTCTGGGATGCTTTCGCTGACCCAGAACCTGACCTCCGATGGCAAGATGGCCAGAAACTGCTCCAGGATCAACAGCTCCAGGATCTGCTCCTTGGAGTGCCGCTCGACTCTCAGCCACCGCTGGCCCAGTTGTCGGAGTTGGCCGTAAGCCCCCCGCGGCCCCTCGGCCTCCCGGTAGCAGAAGCGCCGGAAGCGTTGGCGTTGCTTCTCCCTGCTGTGGGCGTCCGCTTGCAAAATGGCCACCTTCACTCTCCCATAGTCTCCTCGATCTTGGGTCTCCAACCGGCTGAAGGTCTGCTCAGCTTTTCCACCAAGGGCCGGCAAAAGACGGGCCACCCATTCGTCCTTGGGCCACCGACAGGCTTTGGCTACTTGTTCAAAGGACTCCAGGAAGCCCTTGGTATCTCCCCATGGCATGGGCTCCTCTGCCATGAGGCATGGGATTCCCCATCTTGCGTGAGGGACCACTACTTTTTTCAGGAATTCCTCCCACTGGTCATCCCACGGCTGAAATGTCTCGTTCCACTCTCCAGATCCCCTTTTAACCTGCTCTCCCTTTATCCTCTGCAGGAATTCTTTGATATTTTCAGCCTGAAAGGTGCGAGGCGTTTCCTCAGTTCGTTCCCATGCCTTCCCTAATACAGGGTCTCTGGATTCCTCCATTTTCATCCTCAGGTGGATTTCCAAAGAGATTGGCACACAACAGAAGGATCCAGAATACGTTCTAAGCTGGCTCTGTTCCTGGTAAAAGGAGAAAAAAGAACGAGACAGTTACTGATGACTTAGGACGTTATCACACGTGGGCCAGAA